GTGCGGTGGCTCACGCCTGCAACCCCAGCACGTTGGGAGGCTGAGGCGGGCAGATTCCCTGAGGTCAGGAGCTTGACAGCAGCCTGGCTAATGGGGTGAAACTCCATCTCTACTAAGAAAACAGAAATTAGCCAGGCCTGGTGGCACACACCTGGAGTCCCAGCTACTCAGGAGGCTGAGGCAGGAGAATCGCTTGAACCCGGGAGGCGGAGGCTGCAGTGAGTGGAGATCAGGCCGCGGCACTCCAGCCTGGGCGAGAGATAGACTCCCTCTCAAAAAAAAAATTTTAATTAAATAGATAACTATGTAAATAAGGTATTCCCTTATTTTGAAAAAAGATCTCTGCCGATATGATCAAGTGAGAGACCCTGAGATGGGAAGACTGTCCCAAATTGTCTGGATGTCCCCAGGTGCTGTCACATGCTTCTTGAGGCAGAGGAAGGATTGACACATGGACAAACACCACGTGGGGATGCCGCAAGCCAAGGGATGCCTGGAGCCCCCAGAAGCCAGAAGAGGCCAGAAGGGCCCTCCCGGAGCCTGCAGAGGAGGAGCACCTTGCTCTCTGCCCAGCAATGCTGACTTTGGACGTGGGGTCCGATGGTGACGGTACACACGTCTGTGCTTTCAGGCCCCCGGGCTGCGGCAGTTTGTTACAGCAACAGCAGCAGACCTTAAAACCCGCGCCGGGGGCTTGGCAGGCACGGCTCCGCGTCTCCGTCCACTTCAACGGCTGCGTGTCGGGTACACAGGCGTTTACATTCATAACAGCGCTGTTGATCGTTAAAATCGGCATACGTGAGCTCTGTTATGTGTAGGATCCAGTTCACAATAAAACCGTTGGAGAACCTTTGAAGAAAGCCATCACCTCACCCCCGTTTCCGCAGTGGAACGTGGAGCAATGGCAAGATTTCAGCCTGGGCACTGCGGCTCACGCCTGCCATCCCAGCACTTTGGGAGGCTGAGGTGGGAGGATCACTTGAGCCTGGGAGTTCAAGAGCAGCCTGGGCACCTTATCAAGACCCGGTGTTGTGTGGTGCACACCTGCAGGCAGCTCCTCCAGAGGGTGAGGTAGAAGGACCTCTGAGCCCAGGAGTTCAAGGCTGTGGTGAACTGTGACTGCCCGCGGCACTCCAGCCTGGGCAGCAGAGTGAGACCATCTCTAAAAGAAAACAAGAAGATTCAAGGCAAGGAGTCAAGAAGCCAGCAGATGTCGGCGACTGGCTTGAGCAACACAGGAGCCTTCCTCCAGCAGAACTGGAAGGTCAGCATCTGCCTGGTCAAAGGCATCGAGGCTGTGCGCCTGCCTCTCCCCTGGCAACACTGCTTCCTGTCTCCTCAAAGGGCACCGAGAAAGAGCAGGGCAGCCCCTGAGCACGACGGCGGGGCTCTGACCGGCTCCTCTGGACTTGACGGCCCCACGGACAAGGCCACCCTGTGGCTGAGGACCAGGACAAGAGCAGGGCCCCCTCTGCACACAGGTGGGAGCAGCGCCCACGACCCCCAGGTGACCGGCGCCCCCCTCCTGCTGGATGTGACTGTCACTTTTTACCAATGACACCTTGCACCTTGCTCTGTTTTCTTACCTTCTAGATAAGAAATATTGAGACAGTAGGTCTCAGAGTCACCCCCACTTCCTGACAGCATCGAGCAGAGTGAAGCACAGTTGCCTTGAACACTCCCCCAAAGCCTCCATGGAGTTGCCCCCCTCCAACACATCCTCCCCGACACCCTCTGCATGGTGTGGGGTCTCCGTGCCGCAGCAAGTCGGGGTGTTCGCGGTGGCTTGGACCACCAACGGGTGTTGGCTAACAGCTGGGACGGCACCTCTGGGCTCCTGGAAGCAGCCGGTCACCTCACCTAGAAGAGGGTGACGGCTGGAGCAACAGCAACTGCTTTGAGACCAGGTGGAGTTTGGACTCTTTCTGCATCCGTCTCCCTCTCCACAGCGGCTCAGGGCCTCTGTGCCCAGGCAGCGTTTGATCGTTGTCGTGGGAACGTAGAGGACAAGAAACAGCACCAGCTTGAGATCCACACTGCGGCAGGGTAGGGACAGCGGTCTTGTTTTTAGTTAATTAATTATTTATTCATTTTGAAACAGAGTCTCACTCTGCCACCCAAGCTGGAGTGCAGTGGTGTGATCACAGTTCACTGTGGCCTCCACTTCCCAGGTCCGAGCCATTCTCGTGCTTCAGCCTCCTGAGTAGCTGGGACTACAGGCACGCATCGCCGTGCTCGGCTGATTTTTTCTATTCTTAGTAACGGGGTTTCACCATATTGCCCAAGCTGGTCTTGAACTCCTAAATTCAGACAGTCTGCCCGCCTTGGCGTCCCGAAGTGTTGGGATTACTGGCCTGAGCCACTGAACCTGGCCGGGACAGTGGGTTTGAAAGACAGGCACAGCCGGGCGTGGTGGCTCACGCCTGTAATTCCAGCACTTCGGGAGGCTGAGGCGGGGGGATCATGAGGTCAGGAGTTCAAGACCAGCCTGGCCAAGATGGTGAAACCCTGTCTCTAATAAAAGTAAATAAAAGGCACCAGCCTTTCTTGATAAAGAAAAGTGTGTACGAATCCATAGATCTAAAGCAACAGGCCGTACCTCTGAAGATTCCATGCAGGAGCCAGAGTCCCACTCCCGAGCTGAGATCGGTGGGGGCGGAGGGCAGGGTTTGCCCAGGAGACGGCTCAGCCTCTGCCCCTGGAGTGCCTGACCTTCACCAGGGCAGGGAGGAGCATACGGCGCCCAGTGATTGGTGCCTCCCTGCCTTTGTGCAGCTGCCAAGGCCTCCCTGCCACCAGCCCTCACTGCTGTCCACCCCCTGCCCACAGGCCCGTAGCTGCCACGGTCCTCTGCAGAGACGGCTCAGTTTCATGCAATGCCCTTCAACAGCTGAGGAGATAGGAAAGGCTCCCCTAGCAGAGGTGGGGGCCCTGTGGGGCCGGGGAGAAGGTCCCCAAGGCACACATGGGAAGGCGTGGACGGAAGAGCACAAGACTGCTGCAGTCTGAACGGTGCCTCCGTAACTCACGTGTTGGAACTTGATCGCCAAGGTGACAGCATTACGAGGCCGGGCTTTGGGCGGTGGCAGAGCCTCAAGAATGGGCTTCGTGACCTCACAAGAGGTGTGAGGGAGCCGCCTCCCTTCCCTTGGTCCTTCCGCCACCCCCCCAGCCACGTGAGGACGCAGCAGCGGGTGCCATCTTGGGAGCAGAGGCTGGGCCTCCCCAGACACAAACCTGCTGGTGCCTTTATCCTGGACTTCCGGCCCGCACACCTGTGCGAAATCAGCGTCTGCCGTCTGTACGGAATCCCGTCTCAGATGCTTTGCCATGGCAGCACGCACAGACTCGGAATCTCCTGCTCCCTCCACACCCATGTCCACTCACCGCCCCACCCTCCGGTGTCAGCTGTGGTGTCTCACCCGTCCTCCACCATCCCCGGGTAAAAAAACACCGGGTTCATTTCCTCTAAGACAAGCAGCTTCCATTTTGCTTCTAAAATCCACATCTGACGAAGCTGTTCTCCAGCAAAGGGCAGACCCAGCATTTCTGTCTCTGTCAACACAAATGTTATCAAGCCTATAATTGACATTTTTTTGTAGCTTCAATATTTTGCCTAAATAATTCCTCATCAAAATTGCAAGCTCTCTAAGAAATTATACTTTAATGTAGTAATTTTCACAGGGCAACTGAAGACATAATTGTGCAGAACACATTTTGAGTCTGGATGTTTGGAAGGAGGATCGCAGACATCTGGGACACAGCGCGGTGCCCGTGTTTACATGTGACGGAAGAAAATGACAGTTTCTCTAAGGCTTCATTTACATTTATGTTTTCTGTGTATTCACCACCCAGTCCCCCACGTCATATGGTCTGTACTAGGCTTTGTCTGTTTTTGTTCCACCTTGGTTTGCTGTAGCACTTTCTGCTGTGAGCGTAACTCACTTCCTTGTTGCAGGAGTTTCCTGAGCCCACCGTAACAAATTGCCACAATCTTGGTGGCTTAAAATAACCAAGATTTATTTTCTCTTATTCGGGAAGCCGGAAGTCCAGAGCCCATACACCGGCAGGGCCGTGTCCCTCGGGCCTCTCAGGAGGCTTCTTCCTGCCGCCCCGCCTCTGTGGACTTCTGGTGCCGTTTCCCTGGAGGGCCAGGGGATCCGGGCGGCCTGTGTATTCCGTGAACACCTCCACAGGGCTCTGGGTCACAAGCCTTGGGAAACTTTATTATTTTTATTTTTTTGAGACAGAATTTCGCTCTTGTTGTCCAGGCTGGAGTGCACTGATTCGATCTCTGCTCACTGCAGCCTCTGCCTTCCGGTTCAAGCGATTCTCCTGCCTCAGCCTCCTGAGTAGCTGGGACCACAGGTGCCCACATCACGCCCGGCTAATTTTTGTATTTTTAGTAGGGACGGGGTTTCACCATGTTGACCAGGATGGTCTCGAACTCCTGACCTCATGATCCGCCCGCCCCGGCCTCCCAGAGTGCTGCGATTGCAGGCGTGAGCCACCGCGCCCGGCCTGGAATCCTTTCTCAACAGGCGACACAGTTGGAGGATTCAGCCTTGTTGCCAAAGTCACTTGTTACTGGCTCCAATATGTGATGTCTACACCAGGCAGTGGTGCCGTGAAGTAAGGCCTATCTATAATAAACACACAAAACTCGGCAGGGCGCAGTAGCTCACGCCTGTAATCTGAGCACTTTGGGAGGCCGAGGTGGGTGGATCACGAGGCCAGGAGGTCAAGACCAGCCTGGCCAACATGGTGAAACCCCATTTGTACTAAAAATACAAAAATGAGCTGGGCATAGTAGCAGGCACTTGTAGTCCCAGCTACTGGGAGGCTGAGGCAGGAGAATCCCTTGAACCGGGGAGGCGGAGGTTGCGGTGAGCCGAGATCGCGCCATCGCGCTCCAGCCCGCGTGACAAGAGCGAAACTCCGTCTCAAAATAAATAAGTAAATAAACACACAAAATTCAAAAGAACCGGCCACCAACTCCGCAAGAGAGAAACAACTATACATTTTATTGTGGAGAAACATTGTCTTAAATAATGTTTTCACTTCGTTCCTTACTGAGGCAGCTTGTCCGTGGCCTGCTGAAACGGTGTTGGCTAAAATGTTCAACGTGACTAGAGGTATCTTCGGCATTTTCTTCCCTTAGCTTCATAACTTGTAGAACATCTCGTACAAAAAAAGGTAGATTCACAGAAAAATATGCATATAAATCACTTATTAATCCCAAAATGTAGTAAATAACTAGCAAAAACGTTATCAAATCCGGATACACAGGCCGGACAGTTCGCTGGCACGTGACCCCCACATCTGCAGCGTTTTATAAATTGGTGCTTTGACGTTAAAAAGGAGTTTTACAAAAAGACCCCCTTGTAATATCGATGGCTCTCAATTCTCACCACCACTGCCTCTCAAATTCGAACCACTCGGATATTACGCTCGTACAAAAGCAGTTATTTTAAGGAAAAAGTTGCAGCACAATCGTGTAAGTAACATTCGACATTTCATGTTACCGAGAGCTGAGCAGAGTACTAATTCTCCCTTTATACACACACATCTAAAACAAGCTTCATGCACACCCACGTGGAAATCCCAAGTCCGATAGTGCAGTGTGTCTCCACCGCCCAGGAGGCGCCGCACATGCTGCCAAGCGGCGACATTCACAGAGAGAAACCACCGGAATCCAAGATGCACCCGCCAGCTGCCTGGGTGGCACCGAGTTTCTCCCGGAGAGACTGCGCTGTGCCCAGTGCAGAGCCTTCCTTACGAAATTTTGCAGCTGTTTCTGGTGCAGTGTTTGGGTGGGCTCTGGGGCGGGCGGGCGAGCTTCACCTTGTGGAGGCTGCTCCTTTTGTGGGTGGAGCTGGTGGTAAGGGAGTAAGACCGTCCATGCATCATCCTGGCGTTCAGGCCGTTGGCCATGGAGAAGGACTTGAGGTGGCTTCGTAAGGCGATGGGCAGCGGCAGCTTGTCCACCAGGTGCACCGGCGTGCAGGACACGACAGCCCGGCAGCAGAGGTCTTGCAAGCTCAGCACTTGGGAGAGAAAAGAAAACCACACCTAGTGCACGTGCAGGCTGGGGCCGGAACGAGGGCGGTTCCCACACCTGTCCTCCCGCCTTCCAGAGACACGGACACCCACGGCCCTGGCTTGTACATGCAGCAAACCCTGCCTCGATGTCACCGCTGCCCACACACAGATTCCAGCAGTTCCTGCATAAGCTTTCTGACAGAGCTGCAGTAATGACTTCTCTCAAATGCCTGGCTCTGAGAAAGGACGCAGTGGCCACCTTGAGACGGGTCCCAGGAGGCAGATATTTGCCCAGGGGGCCGCAGAACCACCCCGGCATCTGGAGGGCAGGCATACCCGGAATCACCCTGGGCCTACCCTTGCTCGGCCGCCAGAGCCGGTCCATCCCATGCCGCAGCAGCACGATCCTGGCCAGCTCCGTGAACGACTCCGTGATGTTGAAATTGCACAGAGGGCTGACCTCAAAGAAGGTCACGCCCAGGCGCTCGGCGTAGGCCTGGGCCTGCTCCGTGGGCACCTGCCGCTTAAATGCCAGGTGCAGGCGGTTCCCTACCAGGATCCTGGGGACTCCGGGAGCGTGCTAGCGGGCAGGAGAAAGGCAAGGGTTACCTGAGTGAGACTTTGCTGTCACTGAAACGTGGGTGCCCTGGGTGGAGGAACCCCCACAAGTTCACTTCCACCCAGAACCTCAGCATGGGACCCTGTGTGGAAAGACAGTCTGGGCAGATGTGAATAGTTAAGGTGCAGCCACGCTGAATTAGGGCAGGCCCTCATCTAACGACTGGCACACAGACACACACGCACACAAACGCACACATGCACACACACATGTGCACACACATGCATGCACACACACGCAAACATGCACACAGGCACGCACATGCACGCACACATGCACACACAGGTGCACACACGCAGGCACACACATGCACACAATGTGCACACGCAAACGCACGCACACACTCGCATACGTGCGCATACACACATGCGTACACACGCGCAAAGATACGCACACACGCATGCGGGCATGCACACACGCAGATGCACACGCACGCGCATGCACGCATACGTGCACACAAGCAGATACATGCGCACGTGCACACACGCGCACACAGACACACGCACGCATGAGTGCACACGTGCACACACGCACATGCACACAGGCACACATGCACGCACACACGCACGCACGCACACACATGCACGCACGCACAGGCACAGGCAGATGCGTGCGCACGTGCACACGTGCGCGCACACGCAGACACGCACGCATGAGTGTACACATGCACGCACATGCACACACGCACGCACACATGCATGCACACACATGCAAACGCACACAGGCACGCGCACACATGCGCACGCACGCACACGCACAGGCAGATGCGTGCGCACGTGCACACATGTGCACGCACACGCAGACACGCACACATGAGTGCACACATGCACGCACATGCACACACGCACGCACACACACATGCACACATGGAGGAGGCCATGTGACACAAAGGCAGAGACTGGAGCGGGGCGGCACAGACCGGGGGGCCCAGGGTTGCTGGCACCTCCGAGGGCCAGGCGAGGCCGCTGGGGGAATCGGTCCTGCCGACACCTCGGTTTTGGGCTCTGGCCTCCAGAACGGCGGGAGAACGCGTTTCTGTTTAGGACACCGGCCTGCGGTCGTTGGTTATGGCAGCCCCGAGACACTCACAGTGGGCTCGGTGCTGACCGCGCCACATCGCCATTGCCAGGTGGGCTGGTCCGCGTGCCCCCAGGCACAGGCCCCGTCACTGCTTGTCAGCCCAGCCCGACCACAGCAGGCAGGGGAGCAGGCCGCCCGTGGGTCCTGACCCCACGCACAGCGGAGCCACGTCACCGCGGGCCCTGACCCCACGCACAGCGGAGCCACGTCACCGCGGGCCCTGACCCCACGCA